AGCGCCTCCTGCACTTTGCCACCAAGAACGTCATGGACGCGGTGTGGTTTCCCAAGGACCAGCGGCTCCAGACACCCAACAGCGTGGCCAAGCTGCCCGCTCAGCTGGGCACAGGTAAAGACCTCAACTGCTGGGCTCTGCCCTCACGGTCCTGCCTGAGCTGTGCCAGGGAGGACCAAGGTTAGCACGCAGAGAGAAGGGGGGAACCTGCCAGCCCTTGTGAGTGCCCACGCTGGCACAGAGCCCCTCTGCCCCATTGCAGAGGAGCAGCTGTACTGCCGCTCGGTGTGGTCGGCGCGCTCAGGGCTCACCTGGCACGCCACAGCCGTGGCTCGCTGCGCGAGGAGATGCTCAGCTGCTCCAGCTTCTCCCGCAGCGGCAAGCGACTGGGGGAACACATGGAGGTGAGCAGGGTGTGCGGGGCCAGAAGTACTGCCCCTGGGGTGCCCATTCAGGGGTGTCCCTGAGCTCCCCGTGTGATGCTGTGCTGCCCCGGCCGCAGGACAAGGAAGGGAAGAAGCAGTGCGTGGCCCACAACGCTTTCCAGGGCCAGGGCGTCCACGCCATCGCCAGATGCTGCACGTGGCCCAGGGCTGAGTGCCGGATCAACGCCAGCTCCCTGGCCCAGGCTGAGGGGGCCGGCTGCTCCCTGTGGGACCACGTCCTGACCGGTAACGCCTGACACAGTGGGGTACAGAGCCTTGAGCAAGGGTGTATCTTCCAGAAAACCTCTGGGACTGGGAGGGTAAAAGTGTGGGTGTGAGTGCTGATGTGACAAGGAAAGGGGACATCCCTTCGTGCTGCTGTGTGCACTGGGATGCTGTCATGGTTTCTCCACACTGACAGCCCATCTCCCCTCGTCAGGGTGCAGTTTCCACTCCCCTGCCGCGGCGCTGGGTGATGGTGGCAGACCCGTCCTGGGGCCAGGGAATGGCTTCAGCCACTGATGGCGCCCGCCTTGTGCTGCCCCGCTGCCAGCCTCGAGTGCCGGGTGAAGGAACACACGTCCACAGGCTCTGCGGAGAAGGTAGGGATGGTGCATTGATCTGCGTGTCCCTCTGTCACCCTGATGGGAGGTGGGGTTGGCTTTGGCATCTCATTGCAGCCACCTCAACCCCCGACTTCACTGGTGTCCCCAGTGTGACACCAGCCACATCACCTTGTGCCCTGGGGACCACCAAGGGCAGGCAGAGCCCTGTCCCTTTGCTGACCCGTGGAGGACGAGCTCTTTTTCCCTGCCAGGTGACAGTGTCCTGTGACAACGGCTGGACGCTGACAGGCTGCAACGCCCATTCCCAGAGCCCCAGCACCATGGGAGCCTACGCTGTGGATGATACCTGCGTGGCAGCCGGCG